AAATCTTCATATTTTTGAGCTATCTCAAACATAATAAAATTCTCATTTGTTAAGAGAAAAATACTTGGGCAGCACCTATGGCTCAGTGAGTAGGGTGCCGGCCCCATATACTGAGGGTAGTGGGTTCAAACCCGGCCCTGGCCAAACTGCAACAAAAATAGCCAGGCCTTGAGGCAGGTGCCTGTGGTCCCAGCTACTCTGGAGGCTGAGGCAAGAGAATCGCCTAAGCCCAGGAGTTGGAGGTTGCTGTGAGCTGTGACGCCATAGAACTCTACCCAGGGGGACAAAGTGAGACTCTGTCTCTATTAAAAAAAAAAAGAGAGAGAGAGAGAGAAAACCTCAGTATGCTAACTTCCCATCCTTACAAATTATTAACTAATTTTCTTTATACTGTAATTTTGGGTAGTATCAACTAACTTTGGGCAGAAATCAGCCAATTTAAGTTGACCTTATATTAAAAGCTCCAAAAAATGAGAATGTTTAACTGATGCACATACCATATATGCCTATTATGGACGTAATATATTAATAGTGTTTTTCCTTGGTAGCTTTGCTTAATTACCAACATAAAAATCCACTGGATTTTTTTTATGGGCCTGCTTATATACATTTGTGTATCAGGGCAAAACAAGATTGGAATCCTGGCTCTGGCTCTTCTCTGCCCTCATTTATAACCACAGGCAATGTCCTTAATCTAAACTCTTGTTTGCTTAGCAGGAAGTGGGGACACAAAAGGTCAACAAATCCTACCTCAAAGGGTTGTCATGAGGACCAGATGATAGCCTGGCTATAACAGCCCTTTGCACAGTGCCTGGCCCATGGTCAAGCCTCAGTAAATGACAACTAAACAGCAATGTAGGGGGTTTTATGTGCCACACATGAGATTTGGAGGCAGAGTCAATGGTAAGGTTACGTGAAGAAATTGGACATGTGCATGTTCACTAGTATGATTCATGTCTACTCTGCCGTTGCTGCTGCTGCTTTCCTGTAACCAATTTTAGAGCCTATCTTGGCAGCTGAAAGTATTTGGGATTAATTTCACACTCACTTTATGAGTTGAGCGTTTTCCTGCAAGCAGCTCCCTGGGCCTCTGCCTCATTAGTTTGGCATCAATTGATATGGTAGTTGGACTGAGATGTCCTTTGGGGTCTCCATTTTATTTGGAAACCTTCAATTTGAAAAAGCAAAACAAAGGCCATCAACACATTGTGCTTGAAATGGTTAGCATTTATTGTTTCCTAAACTCCTCCCTTTCTGTAGTTCTGTTGAACACCAGGGAGCACACATCTTATTCTGTCATCGATGAACCTTGAAAAATCACTTTTTCAAATTTAAGTCCTGCCAGCTGGTTGGCCTCATTTCTCAGTTCAGGTGAGCAGTGAGATCTTCTAGGGCTTGGTTACACAGATCTGAATCTTGATGGTTCTAGTTTTTCCAGCCCTTTTTACTATGTTAATTCTGCTAAATTCATTTGGCACTCATGGAGTACAAAGTAAACTTGGCTGTTACGTGTAAAACTAAATTGAGAACATGGAAATCTGTTTAGTATTTCATGCTGGCCAGTAGGTCAGGAAGATTTTCCTTGGGGGTAATTTACATGAAGAATTGTTTATCCCATGTCTTTCCAATTTCTGTGACCATTTGGGGATAGCAGACTCTTTCCACAATGGCACAGAAATCTATCCAATGAGACAGAGACTTAAGAGAAGCAATGCTTCTCCTGGATTGATGTATTTTGGGCCTTGCTCAGGAAAGATCCTGTGGCTTGGGCTGCTGTCTCACTGAGAAGTCATTCTTCCATCACAGCTGTGTTTAGCAAGTTGGGTGGATCCATGAACAGACATGCTGTTATACTTAGTGAGAATTTTCCCTTGATAGTGAGGAACATGCATAAAAGCTTCACTTAAGTCCAGCAAATGTCCCAAATATTTATCATGATCCGATCACTGCGTAGAGTGCAGCCTCTATCAACTAACACCCACACTCAATGGCTCCCAGTGTCTGCAGAGCTGGTTCATGCTCTTCACCCTGACTTCTGGTTCTTCTGCAGCAGTCACCCAGCTTACCTCTTTAGTCTCATCAAATGCTGTTCTTAAACTGGAATATCTACTCTTTTCCTAATAAGCAGCTTTTACTTTTCTGCTTTAATACTTTGTTCAAGTTGTTTCCTTCACTTTTAAAGCCCCCTTATCCAATATCTATTCTTTAGGATGGATTTCAGGTACCTCTTTTCACTGGCATGCTGGTAAATATTTAGCAACAGACTCTCTGGGGAGAAGGGGAAAGAAAGGAAGATTGGCTTTATAGTATTTGTTGATTTCCAAGCTGTGAATACTTTCACTATGGCTGACTTCAAGCTACCAACGTGAGGTCTCAGAATGCAGAGTTGGGAAAAAATGGCTATATAAGACAGTTGCAAAGTGGTTCCCAAATGCAGACACAGTAGGCATAAATAACCTCAAAAGCCTAGATAATAAAAAAAAAAAAAAGCCTAGATAATAGTAGGAAGTAATGAGTGTTGGGCATTTATTACCTTTGTTTTTTTAAGTATTCATTTAAATTACTTAAAAGTTAAATATTAAATTATTAGCATGAATTTTGCCATTAATTTTTATGTTCTCAATGCAGTTTTAAATGCAAGCATAAGAGCATTTTACCTGTATACATGAATGCACATAACTCTTCTACTCATGTGCATGCTCCACTGTCCCATTAATTTCACTCACAAAGCACAAACTCAGAAAATTATTCAGAATTTCAAGGCAGAGACAACCAAGCACAAAGCCTTTCTGAATAAAATTATTCAGAATTTCAAGGCAGAGACAACAACCAAGCACAAGGCCTTTCTAATCTTGGGCACAGGTTGCCTGCCCTGTGTATAGTAGTGGGCCAATTTGTGGGCCGCAGCGTTCTCACCTGCGAAGGACAGATAATGCCAAGCACGTTCAAGGGTGAAGGTTGGTTGAAGGCACAGGGCAGAATGCTTGGCATGCAGGCTTTATTCAGATAGTTGGAGGGTCGCATTAATATAATAATCGTGCTGTTAATGGCTGCTCCTTTATGGTCCATGAGGTCTTCCTTATCTGGTCAGTATTTACCTCCTCCACCTATTTTCCTTTCTGTGTTATGAATTCTTTGAAGGTGGAGATTACGTCTGTCACCATTGAATTCCCTACAGTGCTTCCTGCAAAATCTTGTACATACATGGCACTCAGTAGGTGTTTATGACCTTGATCTTTGTATGATTTGGAGTTTTTGACAATAAACATCTGTGTCATACGATGGTTCCATAATGAAGCTTAATTGGTAACATTCACAGGAAGAAAAAGAGTATAAACTTGGACTTTAACAGGAGTCAGTTGTAACCATATGATTCCAGGTGTTTTGGTTTAAGGAAAAGTGGCCTCTCTTCATCTCTTCGAGGGGACTTCTTGAAGTAATGGGAAAGGGATGAGTTCCAAGCTCCATTTGAATAAAAGAGGCCCCAGGGATATTAACTCTGGCCCATAGTAATCCATCCCTTTGCTAACTTCTTTCACACTTACTTTCTGTTCTGCACAATTAGGACTTTATTATAGTAATGTTTCTTCCCAGTAATTGGTAGTGTGTGTATATATATATATATATATATTTTTTTTTTTTTTTCCCAATAAGTTGCCAAACGCTTGTGGGCTGTAAGAATAATGTGTACTTCCTTTGAATGCAAATGGGAAGTAACACAGAACTAGGCACATAGTAAGCAATGTACTTAATGTAATGCTGGTCTTTATTCAAACTCCCATGACTCTCTGTAGAGCCTGAGGTGAATTGTGATTGCCTTTTATAACTCCCACAAGCCCTTTCAACTGGCAAGGAATCCTTGTGATCCCAGTGTTGTCAGGCACGGACCTTCAGTGCTCTGTCTTTCCCTAACCTATATCTCTTTTCCAGTGTCTCCCAAACACTCTGAGGACTCTTCCCCTACAGTCCCTCTCCCCATATGGCATTTGGAGACCACATAGCTATACCTTCTATTCATTTAAATGATATTTTTTTAACAAGGCCTTTGGGCTGATGTCAGTAAGCCATGAAATATCACCAAATAGATCATCCGCAGCAGACTTCTAAAACTCAGCTCTAACCCTCAAACTGATGGGGGCTTGTTGTTGGTCTGGGGATTGTTGGATGCCTTGAGCTCTGGGGCAGTCAGTTCATTACTTTTAATGAGCACAAAATTCGCCAAGACATTAAAATAAAATAAAACACCAATGGGAAGTCTTGGATGTTCTATCGAATTGTTGCTTTAGTTCTTTTTTTTCCATGAGATTATTCAAAAGGATGAAGGAAAAAAAAAAAAAAAAGAAAAGCCAATTCTGTCCACTTTCGCCAATTTTATCTTAACACAGCCTGAACTTTTTTTTCCCTTTCAGCTCCCTATGGGTTGTTGGCTCACATTTGTGTTAAAAATGGCTTTTCTCAACTGACCAAGTGTTTGAACATTATCTACCTTTTAGGTATAATAAGAAATATTGGCTATCCCAATACTATGTCACATATAAAAACTAATGAGAGGAAGACAGTTATTTTCTGGAAAGGGTATAATGAGGTTATTATTTTGAACTATAAGGCAAATGCAATTATTTTGATAAGAATATTTTAATTGATCAATCTTTGTGACTAGTAGTAAAGTTTGTGATGACTTTATTGGAAGTTACTTGTATTACTATATATTGAAGAAGGTCAACTGACGGTGAAGCAGATACTGAACAATGTCCCCCCTAACCTGTTTTTGTAGATATTTTCATCTCCTGGCCATATGGATTTGGAATTACTCTTAAGCATTTTTATAAAGAAGGAAGTGAGCAGATGAATGATAACTCTTTTATTACTCAACATAGCTTGGGTTTGTGGAAGACGAAGTTCATCAGATGTTTTAAAGTAAAACTAAAGTGTGCCAAACATAATTTGTCAAGGGCTCCAGAATTGTGAAATTGTCCCTAACTGAAGTGTAATTTCTACAGGTAATTGCTCTAGCAGATGCGCTAGAGGAAAACCAGGACAATCTGTTCCAGTCATTTACCAGGCTGAAAAGTGCCACCCATTTGGTGATTCTGCTGATCGGGCTGTGGCAGAAGCTCAGTGCTGACCAAATTGCTATTCTGGAGGCAGCATTTCTGCCGCTGCAGGAAGATACTCAAGAATTGGTAAGGATACACAACCTGCAGTGGGAACAGCCAGTATTATTGAAAAAAAAAAAAAAAACGATTTTAAGAAGATATCACATGGCTATCACATTTTTCTAAGGTATCAAATGAGGCTTTGGTTTTATACAAAAATGCTGTTCTTCCAACCATAATAAAAATGTCAAATGAAGGCCTATTTTGTAAAGCTATTTTAAAAATAGGTATATAGTCCATTTTTTTGTGGTATCCTGTCTGTTTTTTATATGTTCTTTAATCACTTAGAAGTCAGGGAAACAGTTGTTTGATGGCCTGAGTGACGGCAGTAACCTTCAGATTAGCTAATCCTTTCCTTTTCCTCCAGAGTAAACACTTTGGCCATTTTAATTTGCTCTACCTCCTTAAATTTAAGTGTCACTTCAAAGGTTAGAGAGAGCTGAGATAGCCTTGCTAAAAATGGCAGGAATAGTTCCTTACATTTATAGTTTTTTGTATGTAGTTTTAAAACTCTTAACCTTGACCCTTATAATAGCTAGTTTAGAATAAAAAGAGGAAAAATGAGGGTGGCATTTAGAGTTTTCAGTGAAGGATTATTTATGTAAAAACATCCTAGAACCCTTGAATTGTAGAGATATATGTGACCACCAGGTGCTGTTGGGGGATTTTTTGTGTGTCTTAACTTACAAATAAATATTATATATCTTGAGTAATAGATACCCTTGAACTTAGTTTTTTGTACCGAAGGAAAATATTTCAAGGGAAAATCCTTTCCGATTCATTTTTAAACCCAGATACGAGTACATAGTACTAAAATTAACTGTATTAAAATGAATGTTTTCAAGTGGTTGTTAGGTACAGGTGCGATTTTAGGTATTTGGTAAGAAATACCTCATTCAATCTTAAACATAACCCTATATGATAGTTAAGGTACTGTGTTCATATCCATTTTACATATGGGGAAATTTAGGCTTGGAGAAATAAGTATTTTTCTGAAACTAGGGGGCAGTAGAGCCAGGACTAAGGTCTGTCCATCTGTAGTTTAATGAACAAAGTCATGAACGTAATTCTGAGAACCTCAAGTTTTATCAGCTGAATCAAATCTTCTACAGTTGGGTCAAAGAATTGTCAGAAAGAAAAAAAAAGACAAGCTTCTATGTCCCAAACAAAATACTCAAATAAATAAATTGGAAAAAATTCGGAACATACATTTTTAGAGACAAATAATACAAGGAGATCGATAAATTAAAATGGCAACTAAAATTGACCTTTGAGAAACTAAAAAAGGAGACAAAAGTGCAATACTATGAAGGAGGGAACGGCTAGGGTTGCAGTAATAAGAATGAGGCTATCACTGATGAACTCAGGGAAGACTTGAGTAGCTTCAGTTCAGAATCACTGCAGTCCAGTTTCTGAATGGTTCTAAATCTCTCCTTCCGTAGCTGTTAAGATGGAAACTATAATTGGACCTACCCAATAAGTTGTAACTGGAATTAGATGAGGTGATCCAATAGTGGGTTAAAGCTTAGTAATCATTTTTGGAAGTAGTTTGTACATTTTACATGTAGTATTCATATTCCTTGCTGAAGTCATGCAAAATAGGTATCAGTACCGTTTTTATAGTTAATGGTTCATCTCCATGACTATACTCGAGGGCAGGAATAATATCTTACTCCTTTTTATATTCTCAGTACCTGGCACGATGCCTGAGCACAGTATGCTCAGTATTTGTTTGGTAGATGAATGGAGAAGAGGGTGAAAACTAACAAGCGTGACCTGTAGATGCGGTCTGTAGCACGAGGAGGAAGGAGGTTAGTCTCAGCCACTTAATTTGCAGGGCCCAGTGCAAAATGAAAATGTGGGTTAAAAAGGAGGAGAAAGGTGCTAAAGTGCTATTAAAACTGGTACTAAAAACAAAGCGTTTTTTTCTTTCTACAGTCTCTTTCTCTTGACTTGACGTGTCATGGTGTTTTTATTTGCTGTTGTATGTTGTTGTCAGTAAGGAAAAATTAAAACTTTAAAATGTTAGTGTGAAGTTTTCCATGATTTTTATAATGTGCAATGTGGCTTTGAAATACAAATATGAAAGCATTAAATGAATACAAAATTACATAATTTGTATTTCATAGCTTGTGTATGCACGTGTATTTTGTTCTTACAAAACTATGGAATTGCTGCACAAGAAGTAATTGTTTTGTTTCACTTCTTGGTCCGTCCCCATTTCCAATGCTCTCTACCTGTAGCTTTGTAATGAGGAAGGAAAGACTGAATGGAAAAGCAACTCTGCATCCCTCTATCTTTCCCTTTCTGTTTTAATCATGTTTAGTGTAAGTGCTTGGATCATATAAGGGAAGTAATAGGAGTAAGAAAAGTTATAATCCCCTCCCTTAGTTGCTTGTGTTGCTCTGAGTTCTGTTGGCTTATATCTTCATTCAAAATGAGTTCTGGCTGTGTTAACCAGTTTGATGGAAGTGTTTCGGATTGTGTGTGAAAACCCCACACTGTACCCCAGAAATGCGTTAATGTACATAGTTACCATTCAATAAAAAAATAAATAAATAAAAAAGACTTGGCCTAAAAAAAAAAAAAATGAGTTCTGGTTCTAATGAGAAGCTCTGCCAAGGCTCTTGGTGCCCCTGCTAATCAGTCTAGATGTAACATGTCTTGATACTTGCGTGGCTTTTCCTGAACTCCCCCCGCCCCCACTCATCATGGGGCCATAGGAATTCTGAGCTCCTGGGGCTACATGTGAATGGGACAGAAGGAGCGAGGGGGCACATATATTTTTCCCATCTTCCCTTCTCATACACCTGCTTCATTGCCCCATCAAACAGCATTTACTAAACACAAGTTCAAAGGTAAAATTAGTAAGAATTTCAGGATAGTGACAACAAAACATAAAAGCAGGCAGCAGTTTGAGGGGAGAGTCTTTCTGACCCCAGGGCCCTGTGCAACTGCACAATTTGAATGCTCCTGAAGCTGACCCTGAGGCATGATTAAATTCAAAGGAAGACCTTCCTAGAAATCAATCTTCTACCTGTAGGAACTGGAACTCATGAGAGATTGTGGTATTTCCTACTCAACAGATCTTTAAAAACAGCCTTATTTGTCTGGAAGTCTATAAATATGTTCATCCTTGTAGGCAGGTGAATGGACTTGGCCTCTTCTCAGAGCCCCTTTCTACCCTGTCTCTATATTCTCTACTGTTATACATCCCAAAACATGTAATTCTTTCACCTCTTTTCTGAATTTGATAAGATTAGAAGGGGTGTGTACTCGTTATGTCTATTGGAGTCATTAATGAGACAAGACATTTGATAAAAACGTAACTTGGAGAAGAATGAATCAAAAAATACATTTTAATACTGCTTGTTATGCTCTTCATCTTTAATTAGGTTGTGGTATTCACTTTGGACTTATGCTATTGAGACAGCTTATATGTCCTGAAAAAAAAGGAATCCCTTTTCATTCTTTAAGACATACGCATACAGTATGTGGTTTTGACATGCTAGTTCACAATCCCTCACGTTATGCCTTTAGACCTCACAAATAAATGTTATGTGATGGATATCCCACTGAGATGTGAAAATGAAATATGCAAACCTGAAATAACTTGGAAGAAGGGTGAGGCAGGGAAGAAAGCAGTCTCTTACCAGAATGTTGAAAATATATCCCATATTGAAGTTATTATGATACCACAAAAATCTGAATGTAATTTAGATGGTTTGGTTGAGGGTGGATGGCAGAGTACATGTGTAAGGAGGAGAATTTTAGACATGTGGACAACATTTTCAAAAGAGACTCTCAGCTCAAGGTCAGATGTCCCGCAAGTATTGAGAGTCAGAAGAAAGTGCTCAGATGTTTTATTTACATTTCAGACTACTCTGCCTAATGATTTGTTGCGTTGTTATTTAGATGGCATGTGTCAAAAGGCAGGCTAAATGCAATAGTCATCATTGGAATATTTTCTCCCTAATGGCATCAGGTTCACAAAGCAAAAATATTTAGAATTTGTTATTGCTAATTCACACTATATTATTAGTATTTTGTTTAAAATATCATTAAATTTGGAACAGGATTCATCATTGCTGTCCTTAATCTGTCTCTTTAGTAATACTTTTCTGTTTTTGTCACTTCTCAGTATTATTTTGAGGCAAATAAATACTGCTTATTACAGACTATTCTGTGTAATTTTTTAAGGTGCTGAAAGTTATATATGCCAATGTATTTTTGTGGGGATACCCCTTCTCACTTTAAGAAATGTATTAGATGTTCCATTTGGTGTCTCCAAAAGAAACTCAGTTCCATTGGTGGATTTAATAATCTGGTACTGTGCCTACCATCTTCCTCTGATGATGAAGTATTGCCCCAAGTAATTTCTGTCTGAGTATCTGACAGGGCAATTTTAAAATGAATTTTTTTCATACCTGTCAGGTTAGGAGCTGAGGATATTTCAGAGTATTTAAATTCTCAATGTAAAATTTAAATATATTCTTATTTACCCATTCTACTTGAAGGTTTATGGAAAGTACTGTGTCTGCTGTGGTCAGTGAGGGTTGTATTACTGGTCTGAGTCTGAGAGAGCGTTTAGTTGTGATATTTTACACATCTTCCTTTAGTGATGCTGCATGGAGCATTGTGGAGCTTTGTCATACATTCCTCAGAATTGGCCTACTGGGACAAATCTTTTATCCAGTCATTTATTCAGTGAATATTCAGCACACCGTATGTTTTAGGCAGGGTTCTAGGCACACTGCATACCTTAGTAAACAAAGCAGACTTAGAACCCACCCTTGTGGATTTGATTAAACATTGCAAGCAAATATTCTAGTCCTGCATTGCCTAATATGGTAACCACTTGCCACATGACATTTAAATAAAGTGAAATAAAATTAAAATATCACTGGCTGTATTTCAACTGCTCAGTAGCCATATGTGATGAGTGGCTACCTAGATATAGGATATGTTCATCATTGCAGAAAGTTCCATTCTATACCACCCTTGGTTAAAAAGATACAAAAACTGTT